AGAGGGCAGTCGTGCCCACGGCACACTTGTGTTTAACGTTTTTTTGCTTTCGGTTATTTTCCATATGTTCAATGCCCGGAAGGTGTACGCGGAGTTAAACTGTTTCGAGGGTTTGCACCGTTCAAAGCTTCTTTTAATGATTGTGACATTTTGCCTTGGTTTTCAGGTGGTGGGCGTGTCAACCTTCGGGGATGCCTTGGCGGTGTGCCCGCTTTCTCCACTAGCATGGTTCTTCAGCGCTGCAATCGCAGCCATTGTGGTGCCTTTGGGCGTTCTTAGTCGTTTGGTGCCACTTACGGAGCGGGTCGTGAAGCGCAGGGATCAAACGGGCGTTGCTGCGAGGAACTGCGTGATGGAAAAGTTGTCAAGGAAGCTGGAGCAGGAGCAGCTGCAGATGGGCACGGATAACGGGAACTTTCTGCGCCTGGCGTTGCGGGCTCACGCGCAGTCACGTTGGCGGCAGGTGCAGGCGCAGCGTGTTAAGACGTTGCGCGTTGTGAACGCCTTCCGCCGGGCCGGCGTGGATCGTGACATGCGCAGTGCCGTTTCAAGGGACATCTATCATCACTTTTTGCAGTTTTACCGGTAACGATCTGCGTCTTTGCTTTCTGCCAGAGATGGCTACAATTCCTATGCCTCCGCCGAAGTTTTTTTTTGTTTTTTCTTTTTCTTTTTGGTTTGATTTTGTTTGTTTTTTGTTTGTGCTTTTCTTATGCCTTTGACTGTCGCGTGGTGTTGTTCAACTGTGGGCTGGGGACACATGTGTGTGTGTGTGGGATCTACACGGGGCAGTAGTGAAAGCAGCTGTCACCGGTAAGGAAAGGGATGACGGAGGCGATGTGAATAAAAGTGGCTCGTGTCAGCACGAGAGTGTGTGTTGGTAGCAGCAGTAATGGCGGGGAAGCATGTTTCCCTGCCCTTTTTTTCTGTGGGGTGCTGTGTGTGTGCGTGGCTTCTGGCGTGGGGGTGGGTGGGGGTGACGGCGGTGCTGGCTGCCTGCGTTGTTGCCACTATCGTTACACTGCTGTGTTGGTTGCGTAACACGCACACACGCCACAGAATGCGTCGCAGCAAGTGCCTCGCTGCATTTCTAGAAGGTAGTGCCGTTTTGCCTTCCACCCACATCTGATCGACGTGATGTTTTTTTTTCTTTTCCTTTTTTCTCTCTCTCACTCACGCTCTCTTTTTGGTTTTGTTTTCGTTTGTTTGCTTGTCTTTTTCTAGTGCTGCATTTTTTCTTCCTTCTCCCTTTGTGCTTTCTCTATTTTTTCCACCTCTTCTCCTCTTCTCTCTCTGTGCTTCTGCGCGTAGTACGCCTTTCCAACCGCTGTTGCTTGACTCCCTGCCTTGCGTGCACCACACACCGGCAAGACGACACACGCCTGCGTGTGCACGTGAAAAGGGCTGCACCCTTAGTGTATGTGTGTGTGTGGTGCTGGACTTCGTTTGTCTCACCCCTGGTTTTTCTCTTCTCACTGCCGCACACACACGCACACACGCTAAGGGAGCTGGCGGGGGGGTGGGGGTGGGGTGGCTGCTGGTGCTGTTGCAAAGCACCTGTGCACGTTCATGCCACGGGGCGGCGGGCTAAGAAGTTTTGTTATCGTGGGACGAAGGGAGGATGAGGATGAGTGTGAGCCGAGTCGTGCTTGTGTGTATGTATGTGTTTTGTGTTGCTGCGATGCCTTTTCCCCACGTCTTTTCACTTTTTTTACCCCTCTTTCTGCCCGCCCCAACGACGCGCATGTCCGTGGAGGAACGTCGCGTCCCTGGGCTTGCATCTGGGCGTTTGTGGGCGGCAGCATAAGGGCGAAAGCGTGAAGAAAAAAATTGGAGGAGACACGAGTCACACACTCACAGGAAAGGAAAATAAATAAATAAGATCTGAAAGGAACTTGCGATGTTTCACGGCTTCCCTGACGTGAAGATAGCACCTCGTGACACCACTCTCAGCGAGCAGTTCTCTCTGCTTGAGAGGGAAGACTGTGTGGAGGCGCTGATGCAGTCGGTGGTGCAGAAGGTGCGCATCTCCTTCGCTGCCCTGACCTACCTCGGTAGCCTGGCGCAGAACGCCACGTCCCACTACGCTCTCTTTGGCCGGGTGTGCGGAGTGCAGGTGAATGAGGTGATTGAGATCACGAATGTGCTGCCGCCGGTCATCACCTCCCGGCCGCCGGAGGACGAATCACCGGAGCAGCGTGAGGAGCGGCTGCAGGAGCAGCAGCGTGAGGAGCGGAGGATGTACGAGCGGATGGGGAAAATGCTGCTGAAGGAGGAACTTGACAGCTACCAGGTAGGCTACTTCGCGGTGTGCAGCGCCTGCACCAACGCCCCGTACTCGGTCCGTACGGCGCAGCAGCTGGCGCAGTTGGCAGTGGATGGCCATCCAAGCGTCCTCATTGTGTACGACCCGTTCCGCACAAGCTTGATGGGCAAACTTTACCTGCGTGCCTTTGTGCCCACGCGTGAGTACGTGGAGTTCTACACGAGAATCAACAACAAGCGTAACACTCTGCGAGAAAACCGCCTGATGCGGGACTGCCACGTCGGCAAGAGCGGGGTGCTGCGGGAGGTGAGGGTAGAGGTAGACGTGGATGAGTACCATCTCCTCTGCCTCGACAGGTTTAAAATCACGCCACTTCCAAGCACCTGCGCCACCCTGCACTCGCAGACTATGGCGGAGTACACCGCCGCCCTCATCGAGTCTGTGCGCCACAACACCGATGAACTTTCCCGCGTGCTGCACAGTGAGAGCTACTTCAGTCAGAAGGAGGAGAGTTATGGCCCGCTGGCGCAACGCATCGACACACTCCTGAAACTAATGCAGCTGCGCGAGCAGACACAGCACTTAGAGTCCATCTGCGACGGCGTCCTCCTCAACACCACGCTGCTGCGCGACCTGTAGGCTGGCACACACACACACACACACACGACCGAGGATAGTAACGACGAGGTCTCGTAGTAGGTGCCGCGGCGGCTGAGGCACGGGAGGCCTCTGCGCAGCGAGGCAAAGGAAGAGTAAGACAAGAAGCGGAGGAGGAAACGAAAATGCGAGAAGAAAAGGACAAAAAAAAAGAAAAGAAAATAAGAAGCTAGAAAACAAAAGGAAAAAAAAGGGGA